ACATTAAAAGCATTCAAAAAACACCTTCGGTGTTTTGTGGCATCTGTTAAGTAAATTTTGACTCGCAGCGCTTTATTGTCAGTGAGCATTCAAGCACGCTTGAAAGCATATGTGATTGTGCTAGGGGTGAAGGTGCTTCGGTGAAGGTTAAAAACCACGAAACTCGAAACTCTGGCTCTGAAATTACTTTCACAAAGCCTGAGTGATTTTAAAGAACAAGGATTATATATGGGGTGAGAGTACTGTGCATAATTTTACCAACACTCTTATTAATTACTGGTGGTCGTGAACTTCCACCATGAAACTATCGAAAGTGAGTTTGTCTTTTTTGCAATCGATGATCAGTTTTCGTCCTTCTAGGAACCAAAGAAAGCCCAACGTGTTTCTGCGCTAAGCAGATGTGCACAGGCACTCGTTATCATACATTAGAATGCCCTTGCGCAAAAGAGACACAACGCATTTAGTTTATTATGAATTGAGGCCAGTAAGCTATTGCCAGGTTTTTTGCGAAGGAGATGAGCGCACGGCCCCTAAAACAGTAGATTTGTCAGTCTGGGGTTTCAGACACGTACAGAAGCCAGTTATGAGAGATTGTGTGACTGCAACAACAAGTGAAATACATGTAATCGAATAACAAGCGACTATTGCTCATATTGTCCAGTGGTCGCGTCTTCAGCTTTTTCCCTGTCTTAAAAATGAACTCCAGTTTTGTTTTAATTAGGGCTAATGCTTACTTTAAAAGAGGCCAGTGTTTAAGAGATATTGACAATACGTCATCTAGTGGCCGTCATTGTTAATTATTGACCTTGAGAACCGTAGTCGTCTTCCGTTAATTACAATGTGTGAAACCACATGGGACTAGCAAGTTTGTATCAAAATCCGTCGAAGGTTTTATAAGCCGTCCAAAGTCTCAATTGGTTATGCCCGTTGCTAAATACCCGTTTGTGAGTATACTCCTACCAGCCACCTGCGTGTTGAAAAAAACTTAACCCAGATGGACCTTAGCAGTTCTAGAGACAACCTTCAAAGAGTTTGCCTATACCCAATGCTATTATTATATGTTAAGAGAAATAACTGCCTCTGTTTCTGGCTACCAAAAAGTGTCGAGTTTATTGGCTCATTTCGTATTGCTCCTTTAACGCCGCATTCTTAGCAAAAAATTAAATATTTAAAAAGCGCCAGTTATTTTAAACTGACTTGCTACTTTCCCTATTGCGCTCTTGGGCCGATAACTGGGAAATAGGTCCTACTTTCTGAACGTTTCCACAAAAGTGTATTAAGGTCATTGATGAATGGTCACCGACCGCTAACGGAACTAACCTGTCCCGCTCTGCCTTCAGTCTCACTTCTCGGGGCCTAACAGCAGCCGCGGCGGCGGC